ACACACACACACACACACCCCATGAGCTCCACCCCTCTCTAGTCAAGCAGGATTAGGAACAGATCCATCTTTAGAGGCCTCCATTCATGATGAATTACACAGCTCCCACATTGCATCCTTCCCCCTTCCCCACCGATGAGCCAGCTTGGCATGAGTTTATCTCAACTTCTCCGCCCTCTCCCACTCCACCTGCACCATTAATACCTTTAAGCAGATCTGGATTCACCAACCCTACAGTGTCATTATTACTTCTAGACAGTGGGCAAAACAAAAATATGGTCAGACAATATCACATCTGTTAGAGGGCATTCAAGAGATGCAAATACAGGTATTTCATCTAGTTATACAACTCTCTTTGTGCCTGGATATATTTCTTATTAATTTAAAACTGGATCATTGAATAATGCAATTCAAGAGTTTTATTGGCTTAGCCATCATGGGTTATGAGCCACTATACAATGCTACAAACATATGGTATGCCTATGAGTGATTTGTTGGGGCTTTTTTATTTTTGTATTAGTTTAGTTCTGTATATTGTGGGTGGCGTTTTTAATAAACCAATTTTTCCACTCGTGCATGTTGAATGTGAGATGATTATAGCCAACTCAGCGCTACAAGCCTCAGTTGCTATCTATCAGCTCATATCCAACAGGCACTCCTGGAATAATTGTTCAATATACAATTCAGAATAACAGTTGGTACCTGGCACACACTAATGTGCCTTTAACAGCTGCTGTGTTTTTACAAACACAATACATCATTAGGTAACATGCATATAAGCATACTTTAACACAGGCTTAAGCTCATCATTCAGTTCTCCTTGCTTGTGTAACAGCCGACAAGCCTCTAAAGCAGCAACCATCTCAGACTTGATTCTTGCTTTCCTTGCTGACTCATTGTTAACTTCATTTTTCTTCAGCATTACACTACCCTAAATGGAAAAATTAATTAAGAAAACTAAGAATGGATGCTCAGAACCAAACAAGTCACTGACTTTAAATTTGTCATATTCATGTATGTTATGTTAAAAACAAAAGGTCACTTAAGTCATGTTTATGTGAAAGGCAGTTTGGCCTAGTGTCAGGGTTTTCATTAAGGGCCAGACACCAGGAAAATTGACTGGCTGGGAGAATGGTTTTGCCTGCCTGGTTTGACCAAATACTGTACATTAGTTGAGGAAAGTTTTCCTCATCAAGAAGTTCAGTTCAAAACGTTTTGCCAGCCAGGGAAAACCAGTTGCCATCCTGCTAAAAAGTAATGTTAATGAAACCCCTGCCAGTGTAGCCTACAAGTGTTTTCATACTTAAAGCTTCTCAGTCCAATCTGCATACAACCAAACTGTGGAAAAAGCTCCCCATAAGGGAATGCTTGCTACAGTACGTAGGCTAAGCATTTCTGTAAAATTACATTTAGCATAAATAACTGCCAATTCCTTAACTGTTCATAGCATTGTGAGATCGTTCACAAACCTTGATGGGTTGGTAAAGTGGAGAGTTCCTAGGCAGGTAGATTTTACATAGAAACTCTACTTCATCATCAGACCATATTTCCTTTCTTCTACACACAACAACAGGAGCACCCATGCCACCGCCGGGAAACTTGGCACAATAACTAGCAACCAAACAGAAAACTACATTCACAATCCAACATCTCATAAGCAGAATCGCTTGGGACCATAAAAAGCATCTGCACCAACTTATGGAAATAGAAATATGACGTTGACAAGTTTGTATGTTACCATGTGAACATGACCAAGTGTCTGTCTCAAAGGTGTCAGTTAACAGAGGCTGAACTGTGACTGCAAGGGCAAATGTATGTTACATTCATACTAAGTATGAGTTTAACATTAATTTTAGAAAGGCCAGACAAGAAATTAATCTTTGGCTCAAGGTCATAACATACCTGGTCAATGCTATTATCTACCCAACAAAGATTTGAAATGTTAACTTTGTCTCTTTCCCCCTTGTAGTTTTAGCTGCTGTTAATTTCCATAGCCCTTTTCAAACAAATCTTGTAAAATTGGTTATAACATTTTTTTATATTAAACATGTGTGGAGCTGTTTAAATAAGACATGCATAGCACTAGTTTTTCAGCAAACATGGCATAAACTTAGTGTACATTAAAATCTCCAAATCATCTCAGAAATCAAATTACACAACATACACATGGGAAAGTGGATGCCCGTGACTTGTAAACAGATTCCTTATATTTCACGATTTATATATATAGTCACTGAAAACCAATACCTGTTGACAAGTGAAATACTAGAAAGAAGATCAACTCTAGGGCCTTCTTCACCATAAGGTGCATAAACATCCAACCAATCATCTTGGAATAGCTTAGTTATTTTATGACATGTTGGTCGGCAATTAGGACACCTCGTCTTCAGAAGACTCTCTATCCCCTGAAAAACCTAAGTGAAACGTGTTAATCAGTCACCAATATATTAGTCAGACGACATGTAAACAATCACAATTTTTTTACTCAGTTTCATGAAATAACTTTGTCTAAAAAAAAAGCAGTTTAATCTACGTTGGAAACAAGTCAATCTAGAAAAATGTTTGACCTATGAGTAGATTAGCTACGACCTGGGCCAATATAGACATGATTTGCAAGCCAGGGCTGAAGAATATCATGAAAAAGTTCAAGAATTAACCTTGGTCATCTCTTCTTTTACGTTTGGTGAGTAATTAGTAAAAGCAAACCACATTTGAAACACTTATTAATATGACACACAAGTTCCTGTTGCACTCAAGTCTCTTCACAACATTTTTCAAGTCGGAAATGAACTTGCAGCATTTTCTAACAACTTTAGCCTTGGCCCTCTTATTTAATTAAACACTGCTGGAAGTTTATTTTAAACATTTCACATAACACCATACTGTACCTTGTAGTTCTCTTCTGACTCAGCCCTGCTCTCCTCTTTCACAAGAATCACCAGCTTGGCTCCAGCAGACTTAAGTTTACTTTTTACTCTGAAATAATTCTCATAAACTCTTGGCATGCCCACACGTATTAAAAGGCTGCATCTCCGTGCATACAATTCATGCTCAATTTCAAAAGTTGCAATAAGAACGTTTACAGATCCATCTTGTACGCACTCCATAACATTGTCCACCATTTCATCAGAAAAACTTTGTTCAGGTATTCCCTGTTTTGCTTTGTCACCATGGATGCATGCACTTCTAAGGAAACTATACTCAGGCATGGTTTTTGACAGCTTGTTTATGACTGAGTTCAGTGCCTTAGCAATGATAGTGCTAGGGACAAGTACAACACACAAGGGGTCATCGCACTGGCTGTTACTACCGTATAAAGTTTTAATGTTTGAAGTTGGAGCTGGAATTTGAGAAGGTGGTTGACCAGCACTTGAGGAGACTGCATGATGAGTATCAACCTCTTCATGCTCAAGCTTTAAATGCGTGGCCATGTGAAAGAGCAGTTTTGTTGTCAGGTCAGTAAGGCTGACCTCAGAGCCCTCCAATTTCTCTTCAGCTCCTGACAAGCTGATGATCAAATTCATTGTTGTTCTGCAAAACTGTAACACAAGCAGATTGTTGTCTTCAGAGCATTTCTTTTCAAGTTTGTTGATCTCTTTTATGACAATTCGTGCAATAGATGCAGTGCACCATTTTCCCAACAATGAAAGGACCTTATGGCACTCAGTCAAAATGTGTTTGACAAACCTCACACATGTCTGAGTTTCTTTGCATACTATAAAGTCTTTTAGAAATAAAACAGCACTTTAAAGAATTCCACTGATTATGAACATGAGTTGATCCTGAAAGTGGTCACAAGTGTAAAAACTAATTTCTTCATCAGCTTGTTCACCATACCTGTTCACAGCCAGAAGGTCACTAGAAATAAGCACTTTACCATCAAATGACTCCTCTAGAGTACTAAGAAACATTTCCATATCTCCAGGACAAGCTTGATGACGAAGAACTGCTGATGTAAGACCAACTATGTGAGGCCTTGGATCAAGTCCATATTCATCAATGTGATTTAATATGATTGCAAAAGGATGCCCCTTGTCAATGGCGAGATGACTTTCATCAAAAACAATCAAACTGAAGAATTTATATATTCCTGCTTTTAAAATCTGTAGAAAAACTTGTCCTGTCGTAACCACAATGTCACAATCAGACGGTAAACATCCTCCTCCATCTGCAACTTCTGCCTCACTAAAACATGTTTCCACAGACATTGTACTCTGGTTGGATATTCCACTCAGGAATGGTTTCACAATCCCAGCTAAAAAAAACATCAAAATATATACAAAGAAATTATGTCCATGTAAGACAGTTACTGGCCATACAGGGCTTGAAATTGTGACTCACTGATCGCCAATGCGACCAAAAATTGAGCACTGGCAACTAAATTTTCAGAACTGGTCGCCAGCTGGCGACTCACATTTTGTCCGATAACTAAAGAATACCACGACACCACTTTTGTTTTTAAATCTTTATATCGGGAAATCAATCGGATATGGTAGCTGGTATACAACTCACCTTTCCGTTCCCAGTAAAATAATGTCTGAATATTACAAGATAATCGAAAAACTTGAACGTATTTCGACACATCGACACCGCATTCACGGCACACCATATTGTTTCAGCGGCTTCTTCCAAAGCTGGGATCACAGGTGCACTTCAACACCGTGTGCTTTTCATTTGCCATGAAAATGGCGGCAGATACCAATCAGTTGAAGGAATTAAGTGAGTTTTTACGTGGGGAATGAAGATTCAGCCAAAATGTTATTCCAAACTTTGAATCCTTCATCAGTTGTTGAATAAAATACGAAAATATCCAAGGACCAGCGTTTGTCTCATAATGAAAACCACGGACTTAAAACGTTTTATTCTTCGCTATATTTAAAATGACTATGGAGACAACAATCACCTTCGGACCAGAGACATATCACCTGAGAACAATGGTAGCTTTATAACTAAGTGTTACTCATGTTGTTTCTAATTGTTTTCGCTCTTCAATTGTG